GGTTTATGTTCTTCCAGAGCTCCCTCTTTGCCCACTAGCAGGGCAATAGCTGGTGCTGAAAACAGTGGCTGCTTGGCAAGCCTGGATCTCCAAGTGACTCCAAGTGACCCCCTCAGCAACTCCTGATGAACAGGTAGCATGAAAAAGAAACCTTTTTGGTTTATACCAGTGAGATACGGGAGTTGTATATCATTGCAGCATAATCTAGGCTATAGATGATGCAATACTGCTACATTAGGGTTTCTGATTTCTAGGTCAGGCCCTATGCCTAGGATAGCTTACTGCTGACACACTCTTCAGTCAGTCTCTCAGCTCTGCACAGCACCAGATATGCCAGGATTTTGGCCTTTGACTCAGAGCTCTTTTCTGGAATTCTCTTCTTCATGACCAGAGAATAACTCTGTCTTGCTTTGCTGACAAGAGATATTAATCTAGAAATGGCTATAGTTATAGTTCATACAGGAAATGTGTAAAAAAATTGGGCTAATCTAGAGAAGAGAAAATAAAAGGTGGGGAGTCTTAGTTGCATTCAAATCCCTGGTTCCAGTTGTACCTGAGATGCAGTTATATTCTTACTGTTCCTTTAGTTTGCTGAATAACATAATGAATCCCCATGTTGACAAGGTTAAGTTAGATTTATATCATTTTTCTAGGAATAACATAGTGTTTTTATTTGCCCAGATGTTATAGCTCACCTAAAAAAAAAAAACAAAACCCTATCTATCTAGGGCTTTTGTTGCCTGTTTTTTTTTGAGACAGAGTCTCACTCTGTTGCCCAGGCTGGAATGCAGTGGTGCGATCTTGGCTCACCGCAACCTCTGCCTCCAGGGTTCAAGCAGTTCTCCTGCCTCCTCATCCCTGGTAGCTGGGACTACAGGCATGCACCACCACACCTAATTTTTGTATTTTTAGTAGAAACGGGGTTTCACCATGTTGGCCAGGCTAGTCTCAAACTCCTGACCTCAGGTGATCCTCCCGCCTCAGCCTCCCAAAGTTCTGGGATTACAGGCATGAGCCACCATGCCTGGCCTATTGCCATTTTCAGTGTTGTGTCCAGTGATGCTTCCTTTACACCTAGAAGTCTTCAGGGGATTTGTATATGGATTGTGAAATCCTCTAGTGACATGGAAGTTTCTATGTCATGCAGAGAGAGAAATTGTGATGCCTGGATGCCTGAGGTTTTTTGGAGTGAGGTACTATGCATTTGCAAGTAATTGTAAACTGTATAATACAGGATTAAAAGATAAACTATTGTTGCATTTGGAACTGTGTTTAGAATACAATAATTTGTTGTTGTTGTTGTTTTGTAATAGGACTGAAACCAATAATAAGGCAAGTCGACCAAAGGTTCTGTGGTGTAGACAAGACAACAAAAGGACAGACTACCTGTGGAACCTAGCATTGTTCTTCTGCAGTACTGCGTAACATTTGTACTCCGTAAGATCTTTGCAAACCACACACAAGAATTGCTGGTCATCCTGCCAATAGATGCTGCTCACAGAACCAAATTTCCTGTGCTGGATTGTCACTCATGGGCTTGAGAGTAGGAGACTGGAGACCAAGGTGGCTAGAATCCAGTTGTGCCTGACGTCTCCCTGTTGAAAGAGCTCCTTGTGGAATGGACAGCACATGGCTCCCGTGGTGGATCTGATAGTGGTACAGCACCAAGTGATGCAGGCCTGCCTGGGCCACGGCCACAGAAGATGCTCCCAGGCTCCCCCGTGTACTCCAGACACACTGCAGGCCACCCCTCCCAGCAGGTTCCTAGTCATGGGCCCCATCATCATGACTTCTGTCCAAAGTGTGCTCAGAAATCTCTTCCTTAACACCTGTGACTTTCTGACAGGTAGAGGATGTGGTCAGGAATGGGAAAAGGATTCAAGACGGGAAGAGGGAGGGGTTCAGGATGAAGAGAGATAATCTGTGCCATAGGTGCTGGCCCTGCAGTTACCTCCCACCTAGTCCATGCACACACATTCTAATCCCCTCCCATTCCTCTACATGCTGCGGCCAGAGAGGCCTTTCTCAAAGTGGAAGTCTCATCCTCACTTCTCTGGTTACAGTGCTGGGCCGTGAATGACTTAAAAGGCTAAGCAGGAACTGTCTGCACACTCCCCGCTCCTGCCTGCTACCTTGTTTCCCTCCAGTCGCGAGAGCAAACATTGATTGAGCATTAACAATGTGCCAGGCTTGTCCTAAGTCCTTCATGTGTATTCACTCAAACAATCCTCACAACATTCCTGTCACATCTCCTGTTTCACAGTGAGGGTTCTAAAGCATGCAGTGGGTGAGAAACTTGTCCAGGGTCACACAACTAAGTGGGGGTGGAGAAACATCAAATCTAGGTGGTCCAGGTGGTGGCCAGAACCCATCAGCACCTCACTACAGCTGCCTCCAGCTTCTCCCTCTGGGAAATACTCTTCCCTGTTAACTCCTGTTGTTCTCTGGGCTCAGTTGACATGTCATCTCCTCAAGGAGGACATCCTGAGATGCTTCCCGACTAGGGTGGGCACCAACTTCCACACTCCAAATGCATGTCTATTTGACGTGTGTATTGCTGCATCCCCACTGCATGGCAGATAGCAGGCCCCTAATAAGTATGATTTGAGCAAATAAATATAGTTATTCAAAAAATAGGGAGGACTTCTTGCTTCTAGTAATGGTGGGCTAGGACATTTGGACCAACCCTCCTGCAGAAAATAGCCATTTATTTTGATGCAATATACCTGGCTACGACTATAGAGATTTCAAATATTTGGAGGGCTATTATGTGAAGATTTATACTTACTCTTGGTGACATAGAGGTTAGAAATCGGTCGTTTCCATAGAATATGAGAGAGACAGAATTGTGCTCATCATAAGGATCTTTTTTAAAAATTAGACTTAATAAAATGGGCTGCTTTGGTAGGTGGTGAGTTGTCTGTCACGAAAGAGATTCAGCCACTTGCTCTGAGAAAGCTGGAGAATATCGACATTGCAAGGGTCGACCACCTCATCTCTTGAGGCCCCCGCCTCGCTTAGGTTGCCATTGTACGTGGACCACTGGGCTGAGTGTCAGAGAACTTGGGTTCCACAAGCTATGCGATCATGGCTGGTTATTTTTGGATCTATTCCTAATATCTGTTAGTTAAGCTGACCCATCAGTACTGACCCACTTCACAGAGTTACGAAGGGATTAAATTTGGTATTACATATAAATTTTTATTTTGTTTGCTTTTTGTTGTTTTTTGTTTTGCTTTTTTCTTTGGATTATGAAATCCCAAGTCAACTTTTTCCATTCTTTTATTTCTTAAAAAATTGACATCATCATAACAAAATAATTAAAAAAAAAAAACAAAAAACCCTGCAACCCCACTATCTAATACAATAATCATACTTTTTTCTCTCTATTCTCTTTTATTGTGACCAAGGATGACTTCGGGCATTGATGTGAGGAACTATTTCGTTTAACACCCTGCTATCTGAACATGATTCACACTCAGCCTTTCACCACCCCCCAAGTAGCTACACATGACATGATAATAGTATTGGTGGTGGTTTTAGAGAGTTGGAGAGAAAACTGAAGTTGGATTTGGGTAAAAGAAAAAAGAGTGGGCATTATGTTTTCTCCATTCTAAAGCCCATGGAGCAATGTTAATTGTTCCCACCCCTCTGCTATTTTGTCTCTTCAGGTACTGTGTGCAGAAATGTGATTGAGATTCAAGTCAGGGCCTCTGCCCTTTTCCCTCCAGAAACAAAACCAAGATAATTTATCCTGAACACACACGGTGAAAAAAGGAAGAAAGGGAGCGGGGAGAAAAAGTCCAGGTCTTACCTGGGATTCTCTGTCTCCTGCAACATGAAGGGTTTAGCCTGGGAGGAGGTGGTGAGAACTCTGGGAGAGAAAAAAGAAGGAAAGAATAGTTTTACCCATGCTGAAGTTAAAACTTTACCTAGAGAAGCAAAACAAACAAACAAAATAACACTGTTCCATTTTGTGCCTCCCTTCCTAGAGTTTTGGCCAAAGGTTTAACTAAGTAATTGGTTTTACCAGGGCACGCACTCCTCTTATCCCGAGTCTGTTTGCCTCCCTCCCCATCATCCTTCTCACCTCTTTCAGGCAGGGTGGGGATAGCAGCAGGAGGAGATTCTGGGAGCTTGGCAACTCCTGTAAGGACCGCAGGACAGCCCCTCTGTGGGGATGCATGGTGCTCCATCTGCCGTCCTTCTGAGAAGAAGAATGCACTGCTTTCACTTTACTGTGTTAGAGTCCATCCAGACGGTTCTATCCAAAGAATAGTTTCTTTTTTCCCCTACAGGCAATCAGGAAATGATTCCTTTCCCGACTACTTTTGTCTAGTGCCTGGGAATCTTGAGTCAATCCCTCAGTAAGTCAGTGACTAAGGAAATCTCCCCTCTCTGAGCCTCCCAGTTCATGTTGCTTAGGGAACCTGATATTTTCATGAAATCTGCCTACACATGGGCAGCCCAACAGCAGAGCTAATGGTGGTGACCAAAGTGAACAAAGAAGTACGGTTGTGCCAGTTTCCTAGTTGCCCATGTGGACAAGTCAGCAGGATCAGGACACGAGGAAGAGTAAATGTGAGACAGTCATGTGACTTCTGCGATAATATTCTAGATTTTTAAACCCTGAAATTTTGCTAAAATTTTGGTGAAACCCTGAACTTTCTTCATTGCATATACTGGCCCTATCTGTACCGTCATACAGCTATCTCACATTAAAGCTATTTTTCTTGAGCACTGATGAGTAAGGTTGGTATGTTTGAGTTCCTCAGATCAACAAAAACCCATTTTCCTGTAAGTCTTATGTTTAGTATTTAAGGAACTAAAACTTAAATACATTGTGTGAAATGGTTGACACTTCACTGATAATGATTTATTGCTTGGATTAATAAATTTTCCAAAAGTTGTCTTATTATGTAGAATATGGTTTGCAACCAGCAGAACCATTAATCTATACTGTGATAAAATGCACTATGTATAATTGTTTAAAAGCTTCTACTTAATGATGTAACATGCGTATTTAATTACACATTTGGCTAAACTGTATACTAACATCTGATGGCATTTTTCCAGTGTGTTGCTTTTTTCAAATACTTTATTGTACAAAGCTGTTCTTAATATTTTTCAAGTTTTTCTCTTTGAATTTTGCTAATGTTTTCCTTGAATTATGAGCACTGACAGAATGTGCTTAGCACTTTTGGCTATTCACACAGCTTTTGAGCATGATTTGCATCCAGTATTGACATTGCTAGCAATAATAAGCCATCTGTGAGTTTTGTCAAAAGTTATTGGGGATTTTTTAAATTTTAGAAATGCAAATTAATTGTTTCCTTGAACTAACTTATGCAGTTGCAAAGGCATTTCCAGTTGTTACGCTTTTGGTACAATATCAGGTGTTCCAGATTATGATTCATTATTAATGTCATTGCTTCCTTGTTCCCTCTGAGATCCAGAAGATTCATGTTTACAATATTCAGAAACAAAAAGGTATCCAAAGCTTGTCACTTTATTACTACTGTTCCTAATATTCTGTTTAAGTTTTTGAATTCATAGATATCAAAACACTGCACAATTATGATTTTCACAGGAATAACAACACACCAACAATAAGAACAAAAGAAAAGCAAATAGGCTATCTAAATTTTTGACAATATTAGGATAATGATAAATTGACAGTTTTTCTAAATCTCACAGTAAACAATGTGCAGCAACCCAGCAACACTGCTACCTGTGACCTCAGGCTGCAGCGTCAGCTCTTCCCTGGATCTCCAGCCTGCCAGTCTAACCTGAAAATTATGTACTTGCCAGCCCCTACAGTCATGTGAGTGAACTGGCCCAGACTGGTCACCAGGTCAGTTTCTGTGTGTCATTAATTCACTCAATGTTCAGCAGTCTCTTTGGAGCTGAGATGTACCTATCATCTGCCTTTTGGGTGCTCAGGGTGGAGAACCAGAAAAGTATAATCTAGTGTGTATCCTCAAAGAGCTAACAATATGGGGTGGTACCCATAGGTCTGGGAACACTTTACTGACTCTGTGAGGCATACCAAGAGACGTCAGAGACCAGTCCCTCCTCAAATGCCAAATGAAATGCAGAGAAATAGTTTGCTGAAGTTCATAGGCCAGATATCCCAGTGGTCAGGGAGTTTCATGAATGAGATGGAACTTTGCATGGAACCTGAGGGATGTGTACCATTTGAGTGGATGAAGAAAATGAAAGACATTCCAAGCAGCTAGAAGTTAGGAAGCAGCAGGGTGTGTGGTGGGATTGAGCACAGTGGATTCAGAGGATAGACTGCAGTTCAATAATTTTTAGTAAATATCTCCCAACTGTTTGGCACTATTGGAACAAGTTCTTGAATGCCAAATGAAGGTATAAATCAGTGAGAGGCATAATAAAAGCTGAGCAGTGCTTGGCTTTTTATGAGCTGATCCTGACAGGAGCAGCTATTCAACAAAATTGCCAGGCCATTGTTACATAGTCCCTGCCTTCTAGGGGCTCACTGCCTACTAGGAGAGAGAGTCTGAAAGTTGGTGCAGCGTGTAACTGTTGGATCAGGAGTTTTGAGCCTGTGAACTGTGGGACCCCAGAGGAGGGTGTGACTACTCTAGGCAGAACAATTCCACAGTTTATATTTAACCTTGAAATTCATTAGAGGATTTTTCAGCAGAGGGTTGGTACTTAAGGTTTGCATTCTATAGAACCTCGAGGAAAGCTGTACTGTGCATAATGTACCCTCTTGTTAATGTTGTGTACTGTGATCCTGTTTCAGGGATTTGCACTTAGAATCTGTTACACTGAGCAAAGAAGCAGACCTGTGGGCTCAGTCTTCACCCCCCGACCCATATATACAAGATGAACAGAGCTGTGGAGGTTAGACAACTTGCCCAAACAACACAGTTCATGGTAAAGCCCAAGACTCTACCTGCCCGTCCAGTGCTTTTTCATTGTATCCTGGAACTAAGCATAGACCACTTCCCAGGCACAGCTGACAGCAAGTAAAGGAGATCATAATCAGGGGACCAGACAACTTTGTCTAAGTGTGAATGTCACCTAAGGAGCAGCTGTGAGAGCAGAAGGGTGGGGTAGAGGAGCAGACACCATGAGGGAGAGTCCTTGGGGGTGCATCTGCCAGACTGACACTGCCTGGCCTGGGCAATGGAGGGGCTGGCAGGAACCACAGGTACTGGTGGTGTGGCTACTACAGTTAACAACTGCCTGTGCTTGGACGTGGACCCTCTGCAATACGCAGTCTCATTCATTGCCCCCTACATTCTACACCAAGTAGAAATGGAAGGCGAATGGGTACTTCACAGACAAGATCTAAGTGGAGAAGGAATGCATCCTGTGGCTGCGGAGATCCTTGGAGCTTGGAGGGGAAAGCTTGAGCCCCACTGGTGATGACCTCCCACAGCTCCCCAACTCAGCCCTCCCCAAGTCCCCACTGGGGGCCAATTCTCCAGATTGGGGGGACTTCCCCATAGCTCATCCATCATAGGGATGTTGGTATCTACTGTTGGTTGGGTAGGGCCGATGTGCTAAGGATGGCTCCCCCACAAGCAAGAGATGTGGATTTGGGGAGCTTCCCATCTTGCGTCCCTTGGGCAGTGCTACCTGCCCCATTTTTTAAAGTGTTTGATGAGATGGAACTGCTTCCAGGAGACCACTGGGCTTTTTTTATGGATTCTTAAAGGTTTCTCACACTTCTGACCTTTCCCACTGGAGATCCGGCAGCTATACATCTCAGTAACTAACATTTATCTAGAAACACTGACTGGTGACTTGATAAGAGAAATTTTGAAGAGGTTCTTACTCTGAAGGAGAATGTGTGCACTGAGCTCCAAGGCCCTTTCCTTGCATCCTTGCTAGGCTTCGGCTGCGTTCCTTCAGGCATGCTGCCTGCCTTGCCCTGGCAGCAGCCAAAGCATCAAGAGTTATGATGCCTTTGCCTTTGTCATTGGAGTAGACACCATTCAACAGGCCTATGCCTGGGCCCTCTCTGCTTTCTCTTCCACAGAGCCTCCCGGTGCACAGATGAACTCTAGGGTTCTGGGCCCTGTGGAAATCACACTGACCTGGTAACATAATGAAGAGGGACCATAGAGCTTGTGGACACCAGGCCTGCAGGAGATGGAACCTTCTAGAAGGGAGTGGCTGTGGTGGTGCCTTCTGGAGAATAGCAAAGATAAATATGCCATGTACAGCACGAGGGGCTCCTCACCCTGAGATGGGGTAAGGAGATGGATGTAGGCAGAGAGCCACTTCTCAAGGAAAGGAGAGAAGGGGCCCTTCTGGAGATTTTCAGCAGAGTTAGAGCTGAGGCTGGGGGGTCAGCACCCCTCACCCTATCCTTCCTTTCTGAGAGCCAACTTCTGAGCCCACCATCCCTATCAGGGGAATATTTCCCAGCCACAAGTAACCACTGACCTGTAGTCACTGGCGTTGTGGTTGCTGGAGCTGTGATCACTGGGGCTGTGGTTACAGGAGTTGTGTTCTGGAGGAACAAGAGTTCAGATGCAGAATGTTACTCTGGGTTTTCTTATTCTCACCTACGGGTGCCTCACCCGAAGGGGTTAAACTTCTGCCCCTTTTCCTTCTGGAGCCCCTGTGGAGACTCCTGCTATGCAGCAAAGCCTGGAAGGGGCCCCTGGCTATGGAGGGGAGGTTGAGCAGCCACAGGTTTGGTCGGAAGAAGGAGACCTGGACTCCCAGATCCTCAATACCCAGGGAAAGTCAGTTCCTGTGGCTGCCCCTGACACTAGGACCTGGATCTGAGTTAGCATTTTTTCTGCTCCTCCATGAGCTTTCAGGCACAGGGCTACATGAGGCTCAGGAACTCCCAGAGTCCTGGGGAAATGGGTCTGTTTCTCATGGGACAAAAATTCTCAGGTCCTTCTCTTTCAGATTCCTAAGTTGCTTATAAGAGATTAAGTGGGAATAAGCCAGTGCTTGAAATGGCAAATCTGAAGGGAGTGTTTAATGTGCATGTGTCTCTGTGTGTACATGTAGATGTATAAGGTATACGTATCTGTATGTATGTAGATTTGTATCTATGTATGTGTTTATAAGCATGTATGGGTTTTTGTATATGTATGTGTCTGCACATTGATGTATATAAGCATAGCATGTGTGGGTGTGTTTGTGTGTATTGCTCTGTGACTTCCTCATACTGGCACCACCCTGGCCTTTTCTTGGTTGCCCCCACCCTGTGGGTTGTAAGGGGCAGAACAGCGCTCCACCTGCAGGCATGGAAGAGGGGTCAGGATAAGTGTTGGGGAGAGCTGGTCCTCTTCACACTTGGAATAAGGAAACAGGAGCTAAATGGATGGGTCCCTCCCTTTTACAGAATTCTGCATTAATAAAAGTGTCAGTCACTTTCCTAACGGATTTACAGGAATTAAATCATTTAAACTTCATAAGAGCCCCATGACACAGGGACAACTGTCAACCCCATTTTTCAGACAAGGAAACTGAGGTCAGTAGGAGATTCGTTGACTCTCAGTGGGCTGATTCATGATTCTAAGGAAACAGTCTGACTGCTGAGCCCAAGTAACCATGCTGTCCTGCTGACCCCCGTATTTGTCCACTGGCCACCTATGAGTCACCTCTGGTGGGCTCTGACCAGCTTCCCTTTCTTCTCCAGGCACAGAGACTGAACTGGAGTCTACTGCATTTGCCACAGTCCTCATGAGGGCAACTACAGGGAGCTGAGGGGCTTGAAGTTGATAGTGGCAGGAGGCAAATCCCTAGGCAGATAGGGGCAGGTGCCCAGTGAAATCGCACCTTCAAGCCAAAAACAGCCTGAAGCCTGAACACTGGGCTGCTTGTTCTGGATGAAACCCACAACTCAAAGTGAGAATTTCTGTTCCTGTTTGCCCACTCTTTCCCAATTGGTTCTTTCTGAATAATGCTTTTAAACCAATTGAATAAGGCCCATCCAGTGCTACCTGTGCCTATAAGAGCCCGAGATTCAGATACACAGAGGGACTCCCCGGCCTTCAGGTTGGGGTAAGAAACTACCCTTGCATCCCCTCTCTGCTGATGGCTGTTTCATCACTCAATAAAGCTATTCTTTACCCTCTTCACCCTACAACTGTCAGTGTAACCTCATTCTTCTTGGACAGGGGACAAGAACTGGGAACCCACTGTGGCCCTCTGCCCGCTGAGGGCAGCCACCCCTTATGATGGGAAGTGGCAACAGAGCTGACAGCTGTTAATGCTGGGACTAAAAGAGCTAATTAGCATGCTGTAACACCTCCTTGGGGGCTTCAGAGTTGCAGGCACCACTGCCTGTATGTACCCCCTCACCTGGACGCCAGGGGGATCCAGCTGCAAGCCCCACACAGAGCCCACTCCTGTGCTGGAGCTTGGAATGGCTGGCTGGGTTGTGCACTTGCTTGCTCAGACACTCCCTCCCATCAGGGGCTGAGCACACAGTTGTGGCGGCCACAGGATCCACGCTGGAGTGCAAGCCAGGCGTGGCCCAATGGGCTGACTAAATGGGGCATCTCCTGTGGTGACCCCCACCCTAGTGAGGCCTGGGGTGGAGGGTGGGGAATCACCAGCCTCAGAGGTCTTGGACTGGCACGTGGCTGAGAAAAATCCTGTGTCAAAGTGACCCATAGTCAGCCAGGTGTGGTGGGTCATGCCTGTAAGCCCAGCAATTTGGGAGGCTGAGGTGGGCAGATCATGAGGTCAGGAGTTCAAGACCAGCCTGGTCAAATATGGTGAAACCCCGTCCCTACTAAAAATACAAAAATTAGCTGGGTGTGGTGGCGTGCACCTGTAGTTCCAGCTACTCAGGAGGCTGGGGCAGAAGAATCGCTTGAACCTCGGAGGCAGAGATTGCAGTGAGCCGAGATTGTGCCACTGCACTCCAGCCTGGGCAAGAGAGCGAGACTCCATCTCAAAAAAAAAAAAAAAAAAGTGACCCATAGGCTGATGGGGTGTTCTTGCTGCAGGTGGGGAAAGGATGGGTTATATCTGCCCTGGAGTCAATGTGTTTGCATCACGGTGTATGAGGTGCACTATCCAGAATGCTGAAGGGTAAAGACCAGCAGTGGCCATGCAGAGTCTATTCATCACCTTTTATTTCACGGTCTGAGAACACAGCCCATGTGGGCCTGAGAGCCTTTGGGTGTTCCCTCATCTCCTTCCAATCCCTGCTGGCCCCTTCTTCCAACTGAACCCCTGGTAATACTGGCATTACAGAATGAACCGTGATGGGGAGTCTAGCCAAGCCCCTGCTGCCACTTCCTCCATTCTTCCTGCCACTTCCTAGTGGGGTCTCCTGGATGATGTGAGAGGAGAGCAACTGAGATAGTAAGAGAACTTGACGTTTACACTGGTAAAGAGAAAGCGGGTTGTCAACCTAGGAGAAAGATAAGGGCTGCCATAGGGAAGGGATGAGAGAAGTTCTAACTGGCCCTAAGGGTCACTTAACTCAGTGAAAGCTGTGAAATGTTTTTTCAGTTACTTATTGCTATGTAAGAAATTACCAATGTAGCAGCTTATAGTAATGTGTATTATCTCACATTTTCTGTAGGTTAGAAACCCAGGCATAGCTGTGCTGCTTCCTCTGCATAGAGTTTCTTACAAGGCTTTAATCAGAATATCTGCCATGGCTGGTTTCTATCTGAAGGCTGAACTGGGGAAGGATCCACTTCCAGGCTTAGGTGATTATTGGAAGGATTAAGTTCCTTGACGACTGTTAGACTGACATCCTCAGTCTTAATGGCCTGGTGGCCAGAGGCTGACCTCAGTTCCCTGCCATATGAGCCTTTCTGCTCCATCAAAACTTGCAAGCAAAGAGGGAAGAAGACAGTCATCTAGCAAGACAGAAGTGGGGTCAGAGACCCCAAGAAAAGCAGGTAGCCAGGCCTCTTCCCTGGACAGTGTCTTGCACAGGTTGGACCAACACTGAGGTCATTTTAACCCAGGTCCTGAGTTGGATCAGATGACCTGCAGACGTGTGCTTCGTTTATGAAAGCAAATCCCTGGATACAAAAATCAAACATGTTACTGGAAAGGCTCCTCTTGAGTTCTCTGTGAACCTGGGAGGGCACACTCTTTTAATATTTCTCCCTGTTACTTTTCAGACCTCCTGCATCTTTAAATAACCACCATCACTAAATCAACTTTGTAATTCAAAATTATTATTATTTTGAGACAAGGTCTCACTCTGTTGCCCAGGGTGTAGTGCAGTGGCACAATCAGAGCTCACTGCTCACTGCAGCCACAACCTTCCCGGGCTCAGGCGACCCTCCTGCCCTCAGCCTCCCAAATAGGTGGGACTACAGGTGCACACCACCATGCCCGGCTAATTTTCATAGTGTTTTGTAGAGACAGGGTTTCATCATGTTGCCCTGGCTGGTCTCAAACTCTGGCTTCAAGCGATCGGCATCCCTTGGCCTCCTAAAGTGCTGCGATTACAGGCAGGAGCCACAGTGCCCATCCTCAAAGTTATTTTTGAATATCTATTAGATGCACAAAGTTTAAAAACTTAGTATAATAAAAATATGTATACAGTGAAAAGTAAATTCCATCCTCTATCCCACCAACAGCTTTTCCAAATTCCCTGCCTGGACACAACCACGGTTACCAGTTTCTACAGTATTATAGATGGTGGTTTCCCTTTTTTCCCAGATATTTTACCACACTGAATCTGCACCTCTATGTTCACTTAATGATATGTTTTGAGATTATTCCATTTTTAACATCCAAATCTGGTTCTGTTTAAGATACTGATAATGATAGATAAAAAGATAGTGATAATGACAAGATACTGATAATTCTATTGCCCCTGATTTTTTAAAATTTGCAAATTATAGCAAAAATTATCCTTATTCCACACCACTGGTAGCACACCACTGGTGTTTTGCATTGCTATGCAGAAATACCTGAGACTGGGTAATTTATTTTTAAAAGATGTTTATTTGACTCACAGTTCTGCAGGCTGACACAACGCATGGCACCAGCATCTGTTTCTGTTGAGGGCCTCACAAAGCTCTCAATCAGAGTGGAAGGCAAACAGGGAGCAGATGTGTTACACGGCAATAGAGTGAGCAAAAGAGAGGAGGTGGAGCCAGGCTCTTTTTAACAGTCAAATCTCGCAGTAACTAATAGAGTGAGAACTCACTCATATTCATGAGGAGGGCACCCAGCCATTCATGAGGATACACCCTCATGACCCAGACACTTCCCACTAGGCCCCACCTCCAACCCTGGGGATCACACATCAACATGAGATTTGGAAGGGACAAATACATAAACTATATAACCAATGGAGTTATCTGGGCACATAGCCACCCTGATTAAAAGCTGTATTCTACAGCCTTTCTTGAGGCTAGCGCTGTTTTGGCCAATAAGATGAAGCAGATGTGAAATTGTAGGTTTTGCCCTTAAAAGTCCAGGCCTTTTTCTCCTTCCCAGCTTTCCCTGCCCTCCTCAAGGACCATAGACATGGTCTTGGGTGCTCCAAGTCATGCTAATAAGGGCAATACCCTTCTAATTATTATAATAGCAGAGAAGGAAGGCCAAAGGAGCCCTTATGCCTAGACAACTTCATAATGCAGATGCCCTAGTGGCCCTGGACTATCTGCCTCACTGTCATGGGAGACATACACACTACTTTCCTATTTGACCATCTGGGTTGCTGCTGCACACAACTGAATTAATATCCTATCTAATAAGAATAGAGAGATTAGGACTTGCGGGGAGTAAGGAGCTGTGATAATCTGTTCTGGAGATGAGCAAAGACATATTGACAGTGTTTGCCACTCGGGGCTCCCTGGGATATTTATTCTGAGTTGAAGTAAGGGAAAGCTGGGGCACAGGAGACAGCACAGCGAGATTGGAGACTGTTATTTTCCCCATTTTTCTGGCCATGGAGGATTCCCTGGGGGAGTATTTGTACGTACCAGGTGTTAGATTTGTGTCTCTGTTTCTTCACTTCCTTTCCTCTTTACCACCAGATCCCTCATTCATCCCAGCCGAATCAGACTCACTGCCTCTCCTTATCTTCCTCCTGCTGCTGCTGCTATCTGATGACAGATGCAGAGCACTTCTTTAGCAGGTCATGGACTGACACAGTTCTCCTTCATTCTTGCTTGCAGTTCTCAAGAATAACTTTAGAATGTGCTGGAAATGCAGTAAATATCCTGAGATGCACAGGAACTACCTGAAACAGCCCAGACTTTGTTCCTGTCCCTCCTAGGGAATGCAACATTTTGAGTTAGGGAGGAACTGCCTGGGACAGCCTGGGCTTTTGTTCCTCTCTCCTGTGGAAGCAGGAAGTCCTTCAAAGCTTTTTTCAGTGATTCGCAATGCCCCTGAGGCATATAACCCTGGTCAGGCTACCTTTTGGGGACCTTCAGCTGTTGTGCAATTAGGGCACATGCAGTTGAGACTCCATCCATTATTGGCAACTTTCTTGAACCTGACGGGACTGGCTCATAGTGCTTCTAGGCTTCTGTTGTCCCTTGCTGCCTATCTGTGTGTAATAAACCTGCTTCATATAGCTGGTTGGGTGTTTGTTCTCTCACGGTACTTGGCAATTGGTAAAACTGCAACCCAGGGTGCAGTGGGTGGAAGCATTCTGACTCCTAATTTTGGTGGTTAATATAAGGATAGTTTTCCCTATCCTCTATACAGTGTGAGTCCTTTCTTGGGATTGGTTACTTCTGAATCTGCATCACAGCAAGGACTGTGGAGGCTGAGGCTGAGAGGAACAACCCCTCAGGTCAAAAAAAGGAATACAGGGCCATTTGCCATCAGTTTCGTGGGGTGTCTATGCTTTCCCAGCCTGGCTTGGACAGTAACCTGACACATTTGACCCCTGATGTCTCCAAAATACATATTCCATCATAATTAGAATACTTACCATATTGTATTTATTATAACCATTGCATTAGGTCCAGCTTATACTCCAAGGCTAAGGATTACATAAGGCCACAAATACCAGGAGATGAGGCCCTTTGGGGGCCATCTTTGTGTCTGCCTACCACAAAAGTGACCTTGAGAACAACCTACTGCATAGATTCCCACAGTGCTGTAGGAAGGGATGCAGAGATTATAAGGAGATACAGACCCGAAGTCGAGGATTTGGTGCTGAACCCTAGTAATACAAATCAAAATTATGATCCTAGAAAGGTAGTCCACAATTTCTGGTAATATTGGTAATAAAGGTGAGGAAATGAAAAGGCGGCCAGCTGTACTAATAGTTAATGTTCTCTGTGATTTTTCTCATGGACCAGAGAATCTGCCAACCTCTTTTTGTTTAATGGTTACGTGGTTTAATTATAATCACACACAGGCTGAACAAACTTGTCCTTCTCCCACAACATAGATCAGCCAGCTGCCCCACTCTCTGGGGAGGAGCATTTAAGTTTGCACAGCCCCACAGACCTCTGCAGCCCAAGCCACTGAGGCACTCAGAGACATCTCCCATGTTGAATGCAGCTAAATAAACTACACAGAGTTTACATTACTACATCCACCCAGAACAAGGCCAACACATCCTACCCAACTGACACTTCAAACCCATCTCCAGGTGAAACGTTTTCTGCATGAAAGCTACTCTACACAACTGGAAGGAGAGACTGTTCCAGAAGATGCACAGATAACAATGCAAAAACATGAAAAACGAGGAAATATGATAACACTAAAACAATAATTTTTTAGTAGCCAATCCAAAATAAGTGAAAATTTATGAATTCTCTGAAAATAACTTCAAAATAATAATTTTAAGGAAACTCAACTAGATACAGGAGAATACAAATAGACAACTTCAACAAAACCAGAAAAACAATTCACGATCTGAATAAGAAATCCAACAAAGGGTGGATATCATAAAAGAACCAAAGAAGCCTGGGTAATCATGCCTGTACTCCCAACACTTTGGGAGACCAAGGTGGGAGGATAACTAGAGCCAGGAGGTTAAGACCAGCCTGGGCAACATAGAAAAAAGATAAAATACTAAAGAAAAAAAATCAGATCTTACAGTTAAAGAAGTTCAGTGAATGAGATAAAAAATACAGTCAAGAGCTTTAACAACAGACTAACGTAAGAAAAAGGACTCTCAGGCAGCATTAATAAGAAAATTTATAGCACTAAACGCCCACACCACAAAGTTAGAAAGATCTCAAATTATCAACCTAACATCACAACTAAAAGAACTAGAGAAGCAAGAGTACACCAACCCCAAAGCTAGCAGAAGATAATAAATAATCAAAATCAGAACTAAACTGGAGACTGAGACATGAAAAAACATTAAAAAGATCCACAAAGCCAGGAGTTGTATTTAAAAAAATTAACAAGGTAGGCCACTAGCTACACTAATAAGAAAATATCCAAATAACACAATTAGAAATGACTAAGAAGATATTACCACTGACCCTACAGAAATACAAATAACCATTAGAGACGACTATGAACACGTATCTATACACAAACTAGAAAATTTAGAAGAGATGGATACATTCCTGGACATATACACCTTCCCAAGACTGAACTAGGAAGAAACTGATTTCCTGAACAGACCAATAATGAGCTCCAAAATAGAATCAGTAACAAATAGCCTACCAACCAAAAAAAAAAAAAAAAATTCCCAGCACCAGATAGATTCACAGCCCAATTCTACCAGATGTACAAAGAAGAGCTGGTACCATTCCTACTGGAACTATTCCCAAAAATTGAGGAGGAGGGACTCCTCCCTAATTAATTCCATGAGCCAGCATTATCCTGATACCAAAATCTAGCAGAGACATAACAACAACAACAAAAAAAGACAACTTCAGATCAATATCCTTGATGAACATTGATGCAAAAATCTTCAACAAAATACTTGGAAACTGAATCCAGCAACATATCAAAAAGCTAATCCACCACAATTAAGTAGGCATTATCACAATGCGAGATTGGTTCAGTAGACCCAAATCAATAAATGTGATTCATAAACAGAACTAAAAGCAAAAACTATATGATTACGTCAATAGATGCAAAAAAGCCTTTCAATAAAATTCAACATCACTTCATGTTAAAAATTCCCCATAAACTAGGTGTTGAAGGAACATAACTCAGAATAATAAGTGCCAACTATAACAAACTCACAGCCAACATCATACTGAATGGGCAAAACTGAATGGGCAAAAGCTACAAGCATTCCCCTTGAAAAGCACAAGATAAGGAAGCCCTTTCTCACCACTCCTATTCAATATAGTGTTGAAAGTCCTGATCACAGCAGTCAGGCAACAAAAATAATATAAGGCATCCAAATAGGAAGAGAGGAAGTCAAACTATCCTTGTTTGCAGACAACATGATTCTATATCTAGAAAACCCCATAGCCTCAGCCCAAAAGGTCCTTCAGCTGATAAACAATTTCAGCAAAGTTTCAGGAGACAAAATCAATATACAAAAATCACTAACATTCCTATATACAATAGCCAAGCCAAGAGCCAAATCAGGAGCACAATCCCATTCATAATTGCCACAAAAAGAATAAAATACCTAGAACTACAGCTAACTAAGGAAGTAAAGGATCTCTACAATGAGAATCACAAACACTGCTCAAAGAAATCAGAGATGATGCAAACAAATGGAAAAACTTCCCATGCTCATGGCTAGGAAGAATCAACATCATTAAAGTGGTCATACTACCAAAAGCAGTTTATAGATTCAATGCTATTCCTATCAAACTATCAATTACATTTTTCACAGAACTAGAGAAAACTTTTAAAATTCATATGGAACCAAAGAGCCTGAATAGTCAAGGCAATCCTAAGCAAAAAGAACAAAGGTGGAGGCATCACATTACCTAACTTCAAACTACAAGGCTACTGTGACCAAAACAGCATGGTACTGATACAAAAGCAGACACACAGACCAATGGGACAGAATAGAAAGCCCAGAAATAAGGCAGCAAACCTACAGCCATCTGATCTTCAACAAAGTTGACAAAAACAAGCAATGGGGAAAGGGCTCCCTATTCAATAAATGGTGCTGGGATAACTGGTTGGCCATATGCAGAAGATCGTAACTGGACCCCACCCCTTTCTTTTACCATGTACAAAAATTAACTTAAGATGGTTTAAAGAGTTGAAACCCAAAATTATAAAAATTCTGTAGATAACTTAGGCAATGCCATTCTGGACATAGGATCTGGCAAAGATTTCATGATGAAGACAACAAAAGCAATCGTAACAAAAGCAAATATTGACAAATCAGATTTAAGAGCTTCTCCACAGCAAAAGAAACAATCAACAGGGCAGACAATCTACAGAATGAGAGAAAAGTTTTGCAAACTGCATCTGACAAGGGACTAATATCTAGCATCTATAAAGAATTTAAACACAGTTACAGGAAAAAAAAA